GCAAGAAAAGCAGCGGGCATTTTCCTTAGGCTTCCCCTCGCTTCCCTCGGATCCCTCCGTCCCTCTCTTCAGTCGGCTTGTCTCCCCCACCCCCCGTCGGTTCCCCTCGGTTCCCGTCGGCTCCCCACGGCTCCTCCTCGTCCCTCGCCTCCCTTCGTCGCGGCGGCCGACGCCTCACTGCAGCGCGCCCACACCAAAGCACAGGGTGGAACCAGGTCAGGCAAGCCGGAAATGGTTTCGCCTATGGGAGATTGGCTCGCGGAGCGCTTCTCTCCTTCACTTTCCATCTCCATGCGTCCCTCTGCCTAGTTTTCCTATATCTCTTCCTCCCTATCCTGCCACTGTCTTATCTTTTTTCCGCTGCTTCCTCCTCGCTTGTTTTCGATGCCTCTGCTGCCTCCAACGCATCCGCTTCCCCCTTCCTTGCCGCCTTTTCCTCCTTCCCCTCCTCCTCCTCCTCCTCCTCCTCCTCCTCCTCCTCCTCCTCCTCCTCCTCATCATCATCATCATCATCATCATCATCATCATCATCATCATCATCATCATCATCATCATCATCCTCAGCGTCCTCTGTTTCCACGTCCTCCAGCTGCCAGGACAGCTCGAAACAGCTCTTCAGGCAGCATCCGTGCAGTCCACAAGGGGAAACACCGCAGCCCGGTGGCCGATTACCCTCCGCGTGATTGGATTCAATACATTGCAGAAATCAGGCTCGCGTGCGGAGGAAATTCTCTTCGCGTGCCCGAGCATGGATGTCAGTCTTTTGGCAGGCACTCAATCTACACACAGGCGGAGCGAGCGTACTCTTTCTCGACGGGCTGATGGAGGACGGCTCAAGCTCGAGGTTGAGGCTGCTGAGGGAACTTCCACTAGTGGATCGACAGGATGCGCTGTGGTACTGCACACACCTTGTTTCTCGGCAGTTCGCATTCCTCAGGGATCCCGCGCCACCACTGCAATCGTCACTTGCTTCCCCACCAAACCAAAGTAATGCCCGCGAGTGGTGCGACAACGTGCTGGCGGCCCTCCCGTATCGAGGCACTCCCCTTCCTCTACGCCCACCTCAACGATGCCTAAGGTCTCAGCAGAAGTTCGGGCACGTCCACCAGGGTGGAGACCAACGCGGCGGGAGAAGGTGATAGCAAAGAACAAAGACGAGACGGAGCTGCAGAACGACTCCAAACACTTCACGAGCGACAAAATATGATAGCAATGAATACTCGCGCTGCTGACCTTCAGCCCACCTTCTTTGGTAATGCTGGCGAGCAGGGTTGTATTGATTGTATGTGCGCGCAGCTTGGCATGATCGTTTGTTCGACAATGCCACCCAGTTTACAGGCTAGGACGACCGCCCAGGGATCACACACACACACACACACATCGGCATGGAGATTAAACAAACAAAAGAAGCCGACACGTAATGCGGACGTGATGATGGAAACCGTACGACATCGAGCGAACAGACCCGCCATGCTCAGAGTTGTTGACGCCAGATTGTAGACATGAGGAGGTGGAGAACGCTTCCTCCTGCTCCTCCTAGAGCGCCCTCTCTGGCAGAGCCCGCCTTCTCATCGACCCCCCGGCCAAGCAACACAAGTACCCAATCTGAGGATTGCTCCCCTTTCTGGCCCGAAGATGCCTGTGGAGTGGGGTCCGCCCCTCCCAGCAAGTTCCTATGGCTGTTTCAATCCGAACGCGTTCGGTATCTCACAATGGTGTTCCCGCTGCGTTGGCCTCATTTTAGGATCGGCGCTTTGCTCCATTCGTTCAGTGGCGCTCTCGCCCCAACGCAGTTCACTGTTCTGGATCCGCTGCTTCTCATTGTTGTCGCCCCGCTCCTTGCCCCTGAAACGCGTTCTTCTGGTAATCCTGCTCCTACCACTTCTCCCACTTCTGCTCCCGCTGCTGGTGTTCCCCCTCGTCCTCCTCCTCCTCCTCTTTCTGCCTCACCCTCCTTCTCATCCTCCTCTTCCTCCCGCTTCATCAGCCACCACGTCCTCGCCCTCCCCCTCCTCCTCCTCCTTCCTCCTCCTCCTCCTCCTCCTCCAATGGACGCAGCTTCCATGTTGTGATTGCGCATAGCTTAGTGGAATCATTATTTTGGGGGTTATAAGTCCTCTGTGCTATCCGTCGGCGGAAAAAGACAGCGCAGTGGGAAGGGGTGGGTGGGAGGGGTAAGATGTCAGCTATGGCGCGAACGCACCTAGCTTGTCAGTCCCCCCATATTCTTATGCCCCTCCTCGTTCTCCACTCAATCCCTCCTTCTCCCCCATCCTCCCTCTCCCCTCTTCTCCGATATACCCCCCCTTCGCTCTGCCCTTCCGCCCTCCCGCGTTTCTCTCCGACCGCCTGGGCCAAACAGACAACGCAAGGCGGGGGACGCTTTTCTCCACGTCGCCATTGGCGACAATGACCGTGACATTTTCCTGACAGGTTCCGAGGGCGCATCCAACACGAGAAGAGAGCTTTCTAGCGCACTCAGCCTTGGAGCGTCTACCCGGCAACCTGCTACAATGCCCCTACTCCTCCAGCTCCTCCTCCTCCTCCTCCTCCTCATCCTCTTCCTCGCCAAATTATCCTCGTTCCTCCTCCTCTTCCTCCTCCTCCTCCTCCCCCTTTTCGTTCACCCGCGTCCTCCACAACCATCACTTAATACACCTCCTCGTCCTCCCGCCCGTCATTCTGGCTCCTCATGGTCCACATCCTCCTCCCCCTTTGTCACCCTTATCGCTATCCTTCTTCTCCTCCTCCTCCCCCTCCTCCTCCTCCTCCTCCTCCTCCTCCTCATCCTCCTCATCCTCCTCCTCCTCCCTATCCTCCTCCTCCTCCCTATCCTCCTCCTCCCCCTCTTCCTCGCCCTCCTCCTCGTCCTCCTCCTCCTCCTTATCGTAATCATCGACTTCCTTGTTCTACTCCACGTCGTGCACACCGTTCTCCTCCTCCTCCTTCTCCTCCTCTTCCTCGCCCTCCTCCTCCTCCGCCTCCTCATCCTCATCATCATCACCACCACCATCATCATCAGCAGCAGCATCATCATCATCATTATCGTCATCATCATCATCGTCGTCATCAGCATGACCATCAGCCGCAGCGTCAACATCATCATCATCAACATCATCACCATCATCAGTATCCTCACCACCGTCCTCCTCCTTCTCCTCCCCATCATCATTATCCTGAGCATCAGCATCACCAGCATCATCATGACCACGATCAGCATATGCATTACCATCATCAGCATCATACCAATCACCATCAACACAAACACCACCATATTCAACATATCAGTTTCAACATCATCATTGTCATCATCAGTGTCATCATCATCATCAGCGACATCATCATCAGCAACCTCACCATCATCAAAATCAACATCGTCGACGTGATCATAATCCACATCAACATCCGCATCACCGCAACCCTCATCCGCATCAAACTCACCATTATCCTCCGCATGATCATCCTCATGACCACCCGCATCCCCAACAGCAGTCACACGCAGCAACATCATCATAATAGCACCGTTACAATCACAAGCAGCAGCATCAGCATCAGAAACATCACCATAAGCATCACCATCACCAGCACCAGCACCAATATCACCAACATCATCACCATCGTCATCGTCATCAGCATCATGAACATCATGACCACCATCATAATATTCAGCAGCATCATCAATATCACCAGCATCATATTCACCACCATGATCATCACCATCAGCATCACCAGAACCACCAGCAACACCAGCATCACCATATTCAACTCCTCATCGTCATCATCATCACCATGTCCCTCGTCATCATAATCACCAACACCATTAACATCAACCTAGCCCTAATCCACATCCACACCAGCACCAGTATCATCCGCGTCATCCTGATCATCATCATTATCATCAGCTTCATCACCATCATCATCCGAATCCTCACCAGCACCATCACTATCACAACCAGCATCAGCATCATCATCAGTGGCAACATTAGCATCATCATCATCATCATCATCATCATCATCATCGTCATTAGCATGATCATCAGGCGCAGCGTCAACATCATCATCATCATGACCAATATCAGTATCCTCACCATCGTCCTCCTCCTCCTTCTCCTCCCCATCAGCATTATCCTGAACATCAGCATCATCAACATAATCATGACCATGATCATCATAATCATCACCAGCATCAACATCATACCAATCACCATCTACACCAACATCATCATATTCAACTCATCATGTTCATCATCACCATCACAATCACCACCATCATCATCCGTAGCAGCAACAGCATCATGCTCATCGTAATCATCATCCTAATCAGCATCAGCATCATGAACATCATCATGACCATCATAATCAGCACCATCGCCACCACCACGATCACCAACCTCACCATCAGCATCATCACCTTCACCATCATGAACAGCATCACCATCACCATCTTCACCATCAGCATCATCATCATCGGCACCATCATCATCATCATCATCAGTATCCCCAACATCATTAGCATCAGATCATCAGCATCAGCATCAGCATAATCATCATCATCAGCATCAACATCATCATCATCATCATCATCATCATCATCATCGACAACAACATCATCGCACCCCTCTCCTTCCGTAGCCGGTTTGGCACAATACATTTGCTTCAGGGGGTAGGAAAGGTCAGCCCCAAGGCAGAACTGGATACCGCCCATCCGAGGAAGCAGAACATGCCTGTGCCGCCGAGCGGTCGGACGGGCGGAACATTCAAGTGGGGAGGCGGGCGGAACATTAAATGTAAAAGTGATTCGTTGGCGGGGGTCGGGGGGAGGTCGGGGGGAAAGCAACAAGGGAACATCGAAGAAAAAACAATGACGACGACGCGCGGGACATTAAATTCGGCGGGAGGACGGGACCTTAAGTGCGAACTTCAATCGTTGGTGAGGCAACGCCGTCGTTGTCGTCCATCGTCGTGGTCGTCGTGGTCGTCGTCGTATTCGTGGTCGTCGT